GTAAATTTTGGTCAATGACATGAGACAAAGTATATGTGAACTGCTGTATGAAAAGTGAATTTACTCTGTAAATCTTCACCCAAATCCTAAAAAAAAAACTTTTAGAACAAAACAGAGGTAAAGCTTCAAGACCTTTTTTAGGCAATAGATTCTTAGGTATGATACCAAAAATGTGAGCAATGACACAAAAAATAGATAAACTGGACTTCACAAAAATTAAAAACTTGTGCATCAAGAGACATTATCAAGAAGATAAAAACACAACCTACAGAATGGGAGAAAATATTTGGAAATTGTGTATCAGATAAAGGTTTTTTTTCACTCCCAAAGATGAAATGTCCAAGATATATAAAGAGCTCTTAAAACACAACAACAAAAAGATTAATAACCGAATTTAACAACAGGCAAAGGACTTGAATAGATGATCTATAAATGGCCAATAAGCACATGAAAAGATATTCAACATCCTTAATCATTAGGGAAATGCAAATCAAAACAATGAGATACCACTTCATACCCAGTAGGATGGCTATTAACAAAAAAAACAGAAAATAAGTGTTGGCAAGGATGGAAAGAAAAAAAGAGAAGTACAGTTCAGTAGCAGAATCCTTGCCTTCCATGAAAATCCTATGGAGCACAGTTGTGCTGACAACATGGGGTCACATGAGTTGGAATCAACTCCACAGCAACTGGTTTTGAGGTAGAATTCAGTGTTGCTTCAGTGGTGTAATTTTCACCTTCCATGTGTATTCTCATGCACAGCTACCATTTGTCGGTAAGTAGTAACTTGTACGTTGATATGATGCTTAACAGATTTCAGCAGAGCTTCCAGAGTAAGACAGACTAGAAAAGCCCGACAATCTGCTTCCAAAAATCTGATAATGAAAATCCTATGGATTACAATGGTCCAATCCACAAGAGGTCATGGAAATGGCATTTTATTCCATTCCATTCCACTGTACATGAAGTCACTATGATTTGGAGGCCAGTTCAATGGCAGCTAACAACAACATAATCAAAAACAGGCCTTGAATTTGGGAAGGTTTTGAGTGCCTTAAGAAGCAAGTCCACAGACTTGTGGGACAACTTCATCAAGTGCCATAACATAATTCATAAACATAATGTTCTCCATCTTAGTTTAGTAAGTAGCATCTGGGGTCTTAAAAGCTTGTAAGCAGCCATCCCTGATATAAATATTGGTCTCTATTTGTCTGAAGCAAAAGAGGATGAAGGAAATCAAAGACCCAAAGAAACTAGTCCACAGGACTAACAGCCCACATGAACCTGAGACTAGAAGAACTAGACAGTGCTTGGCTACCACTACGAACAGTTCTGACTGGGACAAAATGGAAGATCCTGGACAGAATGGAAGGAAAATATAGAACAAAATTCAAATTCCTCTAAAAGGACAGATACCATTTGAACTTGGAACTGAACTACTTCTGGAGGCCACCTTTCATCCAAATAATAGATGGGCTTATAAAATAAATACTATCACCTGTGAGGAAAGTGCTCCCTTACACAATCAACTATATGAGGCTAAACAGTCAACATTTACCCAAGGGCAAAGATGAAAAGGCAAGAAAGGGAAAGGAAGCCAGATCAATGGAAACAAAACAAACATAATGGAAATAATGAAAATGTGTGAAAACTGTACCCAGTGTTATGAAACAATCTGTATAAAAACTGTTAAATAGGAACCAATTTACTGTGTAAACTTTCACTTAAAACAATAAAAAAAAAAAAAGCAGCAGCAGTAGCCACTTCTGCTAAAAAAATCCCAACTCACTGCCATCGAGTTGATTATGACTCATAGCAACCCCCCTTTGGATTTTTGAAGCAGTAAATCTTTAGGGAAGTAGATCATCCAGTCTTCCTTCTGCAGAGTGGCTGGTGGAGGAGCTCTGGTAGCATAGTGGCTAAGACACTTGCCTGCTAACCAGACGGCTGGTGGTTCAAACCCACCAGCCACTCCTCGGAAGGAAG